CGTCCTGAGGCACCACCGCCTTGGCCACCCGTCGCTCCCTCGCCTACGTGGCATGCTCAGTCAGGGACTTGTCACAGGTCTCCCACGCACCTTCCCGTCGCTCCCTCTCTTGCTTGCCCCTCCTTGCTTTCCGTGCGTCGCCGGTCGCTTACGCGCCACTCCCCACTCCTCCTCCCTTCGTCCGGCCACCGCTCCCTTCGAGACTCTCCACTTGGACGTCTGGGGCCCTGCCCCGACGCAGGGGTCTGGAAGGGAGCGTTACTTTCTGGTGGTCGTTGACGACTTCTCCAGGTACACCACAGTGTTCCCTCTTGCGAAGAAGTCCGAGGTGACTGCTACGCTGATCAGGTGGCTTCTAGCCACTGAGGGCACTCGTGGTCGTCGAGTCAGTTGTCTCCACTCCGACCGTGGGGGCGAGTTTCGCTCCGGCATTCTCGGCGGATTCTGCGGCGAACAGGGCATCACCCAGTCCTGGACGCTGCCAGAGTCCCCACAGCAGAATGGGGTTGCTGAGCGCCGCATAGGCTTGGTCATGGACATCGCCCGCACGTCCATGATCCATGCCCGTGCGCCCCATTTTCTGTGGCCCCACGCGGTTCGCTACGCCGCACACCAGCTGAACCTCCAGCCGCGTGTCTCGCGGCCCGAGGTTTCACCGACCAGGCTTTGGATTGGTTCCCCTGGTGTCGGGTCGGCCTTTTGAGTCTGGGGCTGCCTTGCACTTGTTCACGACACCTCCGCGGACAAGCTCTCGGCACGCGCCGTCCCCTGTGTCTTCCTTGGTTTCCCAGTGGACTCTGCCGACTGGTCCTTTTACCACCCTCCCCTCCACCACTTCCTAGACTCCCGTGACGTCCGGTTTGACGAGTCCGTGTCCTACTACAACCGGTACCCCTGTCGAGGTCTCCCGGTACCCCCTCCCCCTCTCTTCCTCGCACCCTCTCCTCCTCCTGCTCCCGCTCCTCCGGTACCCCCGCCCCCCCCTGGTCCTGCCCCGTCTGGTGTGTCCCACGTTACCCCTCTACCCTCGGTCGCGCGTCAGGTAGCGTCTCCCTCCCCGCAGTCCTCCTCACAGTCCCCTCAGCATCCTTCGGCACTTCCGCGACAGGTTACTGTGGACTCGGTTGGTGTTGGGGCTGGAGGTGCAGCCACTGGCGGTGCTAGGTCTGGGGGTACTCGGTCGCTGGGTGCTGGAGCTGGAGGTGCTGGCGCAGGTGGCGCCAGCTCTGGGGGTGCTGGAGCTGGAGGTGCTGGCGCAGGTGGCGCTAGCTCTGGGGGTGCTGGAGCTGGAGGTGCTGGCACTGGTGGTGCTAGTTCTGGGGGTGCTGGAGTTGGAGGTCCTGGCACTGGAGGTGCTGGTACTGGGGTGCTGGAGTTGGAGGTCCTGGCACTGGAGGTGCTGGTTCTGGGGGTGTTGAGTCTGAGGAGTCCGAACCTGGTTCTGCGGAGTCCACTCCGCCTCCCCACCGCCACGACACACGACTCCAGTCTGCCCGCCGGCGTGAGCGTGAGGAGCAGGAGCAGTTGGAGAGGGAGCGGCAGGAGCTGCGGGTGCTGGACCTTCTGGAGCAGCAGCAGCCGCAGCCGCCACCGCAGCTTCCTCTGGAGCGGCAGTTGTTCCCACCTGTGAGTGGCCTGCGGGCCCTTGGCTTTTCCTCCTCTCCTCCTGTCCGCTCCCAGTCTCCTCCTGTGTTTGTTCCTCCGTTGCCTCCTCCTGACGACCGTCCGGCGGTCTGGTCTTCTCCTCCTCACCAGTCTCCTCCTCCTTCGGTCCGTCGCGACTTAGTCACTCGTTGTCCTCCGCGTGCTCGTCACTCGTCCCCTGTTACTGACCTCCACACTGCCCTCCTTTGTACGTCTCGTTGTCGTTCTCCTTCTCTTGTGTCCGTTCTCCCGTCTCCTCCTCCGTCCTCTCTCCCAGCCCTCCCCACTCCTATCACTGACTACTACCGCACTGTTCGTCCTGTTGCCGCACGTGTCCTCGCCACTCTTGTCACCGACTCTCGTTTCCCTCCGTCGTCGGTCTCTGCTCTCACTGCCGCTGTCGCTGAGTTTGCTGCCGCCAGCCGCCTTGACTACGCCACCCGTGTGGTGCCAGCTCCTCCCTACTGTCCTCTGTCCGTCGGGGGTGAGTTTGCCCTTGGCGGTGACGTCCTAGAGGACAGAGAGTCTGAGCTGGAGTGCTGGGCAGCCGCTTCTCCCTCTGTGTGTGCCATGCTGCTCTCCCCTGAGGGAGACCCCGACGCCCTTGACATACCGACTCCTCGCACTTACCGCGAGGCAGTGTCAGGGGCGTGGGCCTCTCAGTGGAAAGCGGCTATGGACTCAGAGTTGGCGTCTTGGAGATCCACAGGCACCTACGTCGACGCAGTTCCCCCTCCCAGGGCGAACGTAGTCGATGGCATGTGGCTCTTCAAGGTGAAGCGGCCGCCTGGAGCACCGCCGGTGTTCAAGGCGCGCTACGTGGCTAGGGGCTTCAGTCAGCGTGAGGGAGTTGACTTCTTCCAGACCTTCGCCCCGACCTCGAAGATGACTACTCTTCGGGTGTTACTCCACATAGAAGCGCAGCGAGGCTACGAGCTGCACTCCCTCGACTTCTCCACTGCGTTCCTCCAGGGCCGACTGCACGAGGAGATCTGGCTGCGCCGTCCTCCTGGCTTCACCGACACCTTCCCACCTGGGATCCAGTGGAGCCTGAGGCGACCAGTCTACGGTCTCCGCCAGTCGCCCCGTGAGTGGCACGACACTCTTCGCTCCACGCTTCGTGACCTTGGGTTCAGCCCGTCCTCCGCCGACCCGTCGCTGTTTGTTCGAGCGGGTTCTACTCCTTTCTTTATCCTTGTCTACGTCGACGACTTGGTGTTTGCTACAGCAGACAGGGCAGCCCTGGCTCAGGTGAAGTTCGAACTGCAGAAGAGACACAAGTGCACTGACCTGGGTGAGCTGCAGCGTTACCTTGGCTTGCAGATCACCCGGGACAGAGCCGCTCGCACCATCACACTGACGCAGTCACACATGGTGCAGCAGGTCCTTCGGCGGTTCGACTTCCAGTTCTCCACCACACAGCCCACTCCTCTTGCTGTTGACCACAGACTCACTGGCCCCTTTCCCGATGAGCCTTTTGAGTCCAGTGGTCCCTACGCAGAGCTGGTGGGCTGCCTCATGTACCTGATGACTTGTACTCGGCCGGACCTCGCCTTTCCCCTCAGCGTCCTCTCTCGCTTTGTTGCGACTGGGAGACTCCGTCCTGTCCACTGGACAGCTGCTGTGAGGGTGGCGAAGTACCTGGCGACTACATCAGGCATGGGGCTTGTGCTTGGAGGGATTCAGCCAGTGGCGTTGACTGGTCATTGTGTCTCTTCCTACGCTGACGACGTGGAGACTCAGCGTTCGACTCAGGGTTACTGCTTCAGTCTGGGAGCTGGTGCTGTGCCGTGGAGGTCTACACGGTCGTCGTCTGTGGCTACTTCCAGTGCAGAGGCAGAGATCTACGCTGGTGCCATGGCGGCACAGGAGCTTCGCTGGTTGACCTTCTTGCTCGCCGACCTTGGTGAGCGGCCTCGCTCTGCACCGACCTTGTACGCTGACAACAAGGCCATGATCCTCCTCTGTCGAGAGCCTCGACTGGAGAGCAGAGTGAAGCATATTGACGTGAGGTACTTCCTCCTGCGAGAGCTGCAGCGACGCGGCCAGGCACGCCTGGACTTTGTGGCCTCAGAGGCCAACACTGTAGACGTCTTCACCAAGGCCTTGGCGCTTGGTGATCACCACAGGTTCTGTGTGCAGTTGGGGCTTGTTGAGGTAGGCCCCCGGTTGCTGTAGTCTTGTTGCTTGCTCTGCTTGTTGTGTTTTCCTATTTATATCATAGTGAACTCTTGAACTGGCCTTGTGGCCGCTTGCTTGTGCTCGGAATTTGTGTGGTGACCTTGAGATCCACCCTGAGCTTGTCTTGCCTTGACTGGTCTTGTGACCGTTTGTTTCACCTTGCTTGCCTTGGTGTCCCTCACTTAGCCTATGGGGGTGTGTCAAATGTTAATGTTATCATAGGCTGCAGTGAGGCACTCCCTAGAGGGTACAACATTTGTAGGACTCCTATTTGTATGCTTGCAAACCCTAATCCCAATCATTCCGTTGCATGTAGATTCTGAGACTCCCGCCAAAAAAACTTGAAACTAAAAAAATTCCCGCTCGCGTCCAACCAATCTGCTAACCTGTAAAAAAACTAAAATCCAATCGGAATGGGATGCGGTTGGGAACGGATCAACCCTAAACACCTGGCGAGTTACTTGTTTAGGGTTGATTCATTCTAAAATGCATCCAGGTTCTTTTTGGGTTTCATTTTGTTTTGGCGGGAGTTTCATCTATGACCATTCGCGTTTTTTTTTTACCAGTTGATTGTGACTGATTACGTGAAACGTTTTATCAGTCGCGTGAAAACACCCTTTGCGGTGACCGTACCATTTTTTTTTAAACCAAAAATGTGATCGAGTCCCATGATGGTTACGAATGGCATATTTTCCCGAGCATGAATGGGCTGTTGGCTTTCAGCGTGTTTGTACCTCTGCCAGTCAATTTACACTTCAGCGAGATGGTGCTGGAGGAAACGACTGCACTGCATACAAAGTGTAGCTTGATTGTACCCAGTGTGCAGATGTCTGGAAAATGTTACTGGAAAATGAGTCACTCGTAATGCCGTGTTTTATTGTTGTAACTGAATATTGAGTGTGGGAATGGACAAACGAAGACTGCTCGGGCGACTGGGGGATGTGAGAAGGAACGGTCAGAATGTGAGTGGAAATGGGGTGTGGGAGGGTCAATGGGAGTCAGTGTGAATGGTGTGAATGCGAGTAAGACTGTCCACCTGCTTTTCTTGTGTTTTAAGCAGGTGTATCGATACAGCTGTTGAAATAGAATGATCTGGAAGGAACTTGTTCTTTATTTGCAATAGTATAGCTAGGTACACAAAACATATGTACATTAAAGTCGCTGCACGATCCGACTCACTCGTCGTCGTTGATGAATTTCCCTGTACCGGGGTTGATGGCGGCGACGAAGAAGAAGGCGATGCTGGCGAGCAGCAGCGGCTCCAGCTCCCACACGGGCACGCCGATCTCGATGTTGAGCTGCGCCAGCGCGCCCCTGCCCGTGATCACCTCGCCGATCAGGCTCGCCGCAAACCCTAATTGCGCCAGCCGCCCCACGAACAGCTCGTTCGCATTTGTGAATCCGAACAGGGGCCCGTCCTCGCTCAGCCCCATCGCCGCCTTGATGCTGCCGGGCTTCACGGGCGGCCCCACCGGCTCGTCGTCCACGAATCGCCCGCGGTCGCCCAGCCCGCCAATGGCGCCGAGCACGGTGAAGGCGATGAAGAAGAGCAGCAGCGGCTCGGTCTCCGTGATGGGGATGCCCGTCTCGATGTTGAGCTGCGACAGAATGCCCGCGCCCGTGATCGCCTCGCCCAGCAGCGACGCCGCGAAGCTCAGCATGGCCACGCGCCCCACGAACAGCTCGTTCGCCTTGGTGAACCCGAACCCGCCAGACGTGCCGAAGATCCCGTCCTCCGTGCGCAGCTTCGTCGCGGGCACGCTCTTAGCGGGGACGGCGGCTTTGCGCGCGCTGAAGAGCGCGGAGACGCCTAGACCGCGGGGGGCTGCTAGTTGGGGAACGGCGGGGAGGCTGCGGGTGGCGAGCTCGGTGCCTCTGACGGCAGAGCTGAAGGAGAGGCCTGAGAGGACCTGACGAGCAGCGAGTGCGGAGGCCATGGCTGTTAGACGAAAGAAGCCGAACTGAAAGAGCGGTGCGTTAGAAGAAATTTGAAGAATGATGGACACGATAGTGATTCGAAGGCGATTGTGACATTTACAGATGGGGCGAAACTAAATTTGTACCACGAAGGACGAGGCGAAGTCAGGCGAGGCGCGCGAGCGGTGCTGTGTTCGGTTCGGCTTGTTCGCTTTCAGCGCAGCGCACTGCACCTGGCTCAACCTTTGGGAAATTGGGCTGAAGTCCGCTGACGTGGCTGAACTTGGAGCACAAATTCATTGTGAGGGACGTGGACGTCCCTGGTGCTCTAGATCTTCGAGGAGAGATACACCGCGAAAGTGTTGACTGGGCGACGTGGTGGTGCGGTGCTGGCTAAATGGTGCTGACATGGTTATGAAAAGTTGAGGGTTCTCCTCTTCCCTTCGTGGTCAGCAATGGCGAGCGCACCTTCGAAGGGGAATCGGGCCGTTGCGAATATTGACAGGACTCGTAACTCACGCTTTGAACATCACAAGAGCATCCGCGATATAACAGCTCGGAGTTGTGAATTATGAAAGGTTCATAAAAAACCGAACATTTACGTTAATACCGATGCCCCATCATGCACATTGTGATGTTTCTAAATTGAGCCATCAATGCCTCGATCAATACAATAATTTCCCTAACCAGACCAGCATTGATCAAACGCTCTCCCATTTTCATATTGCCTTCCTCATGTGAGGGATAGCCAACACAACAAACGGTCACAAGACCAGTCAGGCAAGAGAACAAAGCAATGCAAAGCCCAGGGTGGATCTCAAGATCACCACTCATTCTGAGCACAAGCAATCGGCCACAAGGCCAGTTCACATGCAGAGTTATAATAGCAAGGCAGTACATTGATCACAACCTAGCAAGAGTAAACATGCAGGCATAAATATAGATATCAGTGTACAACAAATGCAAGATCAAGAGACAAGCAAGTGAGGCAGAGTGGGCAGAAGCCCAAGAGCAGTGCAAAAACGCTGATGATCACCAGACCCGAGGGCCTTGGTGAAGACATCAGCAGTGTTGGTCCGAGAGGCCACGAAGGAAAGACGAAGCTGACCACCAGGGCTGACGTTTCACTTTAGGGCTCCCTGATACCGGCAATTTTTTTTTCGCTGGATTATGAGTGCACATTGTTCAGGAGTTTGCCACCCTGATGGCTCAGGGTTCAACAACTAGTCACTCTGATTTATCAGGGTTGACAGCCTAAGTTCAGGGTTGTGGTTCAAATATCAGTTTATTGATTTCTGCAATGTACACACTTCCTCCTCCATTGTCTACTCTAGTGCACAGGCCTATCGATGTGGAACACCTCCTCGACATCCTCATCGTCCGAAAGGAAGGGGTTGTCCTCCTCCTCCTCCTCCCCCACAAGCTCCTGATCGTCGCCCAGGGCCTGTTCCACATCACACTCCTCCTCCTCCTCCTCCCCGTCGTTTTGGTGGGCAGCTCCTGCTTCGACTTCACCCTCCTTTGCTTTCCCCCTCCTTTCACGCTCAGCCACAGCAAGCTTCACGCTCTTTGCGGGGCGCCTCCTCCTCATAGACCTCCAGACCTCCAGGGCGTCCGGCCACTCGATGTCGTACTTCAGTAGCGAAATCTGCATCAGCTCCCCCAGCCGCGCGTTGCAGAGAGCGCCGCGCACCCAAGACTTGATCACATTTTGCCTCGAAAATCCTCTCTCGCACTCCACAGTTGACAGGGGGAGAACCGCGATCGCCTGCCACAGGAGGACGAGGTTGGGCCACCTCCTGCCAGGCACATTGTCGGAGACGGAAGGGAAACAGAGTTATCACATGCACAAAATACATTCGCCTCCCGCTTGGCATACCATGCTGTCACACTACAGGGACATACCTCTTCGAGTCTGCGCTCCCGAGAATGTTGGACAGTCCCTGCGTGAAGCTTTTCAGCTCGTGGTGCGCCTCCATGATCGCGCAGAATGTGGGAAGCTCCCTCTCTGCGGCCTTGAGGTCGAATCCCGGCAGCTTGTGGCGGAAGAGTTTGCTGCATCCCAGAAGCCACTCACGGCACTTCTTCTCCCGTTGAGCCTTGATTTTCGGCCACTTTCCAGCACGAAACAGCTTCGTCGGCCCCAGCTTCCCCAGGTCATCAAGCCGCTCGTTGAGATTGTCCACGCAATCGCGGGCGAAACTGCGGCACAGCTTCACGCACTCCTCGTACCCGCTCCCCACCTTGTGCCCCGGGAGCTTCCGCTCGTGCATGGTGTACATATGGTTGACTGTGCGTCCCTCCCCGTCCACGCCTCTCACACGAACCTTCTTGCCTACACCATGCCCGTGCAGCTTCAGAAAGCCGACCAGCCAGCACTTGCCCTCGCCCCCGAATTGCTTGTCGGTATCCAAATACCGCTCCGTCAGATCCGCCGTGGTGGCCTCGATGGTCTTGGAAATCTCCGTCACATCAATCTGCAACGACACACATACAGGACAGGTTAGGCTACATCCAACACTCACGGAAAAGTAGACAGTGGATGAGGAGTCTTCACGGAATGTTCACTAACTCACATCACGCCCAGCGGTTGAGGTCGTTCATGTCGGCGAGGATGTCGGCGAGGAAGAACAGGCAGAACTGGAACTTGTAGCACGTGACGATCTCGTACACCTTGTGACTCCTCTCCCAGAGAAGAACGATACACGCACCGAGCACCTTGCACAGCCGACGCACCGCATCTCCGCGTGACAGCCAACGAACCGTGTGGATCCCCTGGACTTCGAGGTTAGTGTTGTAGATCACACGCTGCAGGTACTTGAAGCGTTGGCTCCAGACTGACGAATCTCCAAGTTTTGCCGCCACGGTGCGCACCACCTTGTCCACCATGCCCAGGTCGGGGTTGGACGTCGCCGCGTCCTTAACAGCCAGCGCCTCCCTGCAGACCTCATTGTAAATAATTTTAGATTAGCAAACATTCAAGCAAGAAGAAGTGGATCACTAACTGGCACTACATCTTACCGGTGCGCGACGCAGTGACAGGAAAAGAGATGCAGGACGTGCTCCCTGATCCGCGCCACCAATCCATTGTCCTTCCCCATCATGACAGAAGCCTCGTCCGTACTCATTCCGACAAGCTTGGACACGTCGACGACCGCGGAGCGCAGATGATTCATGAGCACCTCGAACAGGGATGCAGCATCACACTTCTCCACAGTCAGAAGGGTGAAGAACTCGGTGACGACTCGGCGCTCCTTGATGAAGGTCAGGTAATCAATCATGTGTTTACCACGCGTTCGGTCGGTGCTCTCGTCACATTGCAGGCCCAGGAACGGCGAGGAGTTGATGTGGTCCATTTGCACATTCGTCAAGTACGTACTGAGGCAGTGAACCATCTGCTGGAAGCCGTACCTGCGCAGGGATGCATGTCAACTAGTTAGTCACCAGTGGAAAAGCAGTTAACTGAACGCAATCAATACTGCAAGTTTGTAAATAAATTGCCCTACCGTGTGAGATAGACACCATAAGACTGTCTCGGGATGTCGGGCGTGTCCTGCTCCGCAAGATGCCGCATCAGCCTAGGGTACATGCTTATCGGCGCGTCGCACTTGCACAGAAACACAACAGACCGCAACAGTCGGACTGCGCGCCTGCCCTCGACGTCCGAGTTGATGAAGTTCGAAATCACTTGCTGCCCCTCGCGGATGCCCTTCGCAATCTTCAGCTGCCGATCAACAGCCGCTGTGTGCGCGTCCGTGTGCTCTGTCAGAAAGAACGAAAGAGGAATGAAGAAAGGAAGGGGTTTCACTAGCAAGCAGTTGGATACATATAGCAAACCCTAATTGGGCTGTACTCACTATGGAGTACCCCACTGCAGGCTAGACAATTATAACATTCTGACACACCCCCATAGGCAAAGTGGGGTGTAATCAGCACAACAAGCAAGCATAGTAATAGTTCACAATTACAAGCAAAGCTAGAGGTAATCACAGCGGGCAAGTGAGGAGGAGGAGGAACTGTGGAAGGAGAGAAGATGGGAGGCAACGACTAAAGCTGCAGAGGCACGGGCACAGGAGCTGCTGACTCAGGGTTACCGAAGCAAGGGCGACGGACCCACAGTGGCTACCGAAGCAAGGGCGATGGACTACTGGAGTGATTGGCTCCGCAGCTAAGACGAGCGGCAGGAGCAACGGACCCACTGGCGACTGGTGCAACAGGCTCACTGGCTACCGAAGCAAGGGCGACGGACTACAGGCGCTGCAGGCGACACGACAGCTACCTCCACACAACCTCCTCCAACTGACCCACACCATTGACACACACCCCCTGCTGAACCCCTAACTCCACTCCCACGTCACCCCCCTTAAACCCTAAACCCTCGGCTCCCACACACCCACCCCCCTCAGCGGTAGCTGCAGCAGTGGGAGACGGAGGAGGAGGAGGAGTAGGGGACGGATCACACACCCGCCACCCCCATACTTGCCACCCCCATACCCCCAAACGTAGGGCAAAAACGGGGGCAGCAGCTGGGGCGGTGTGTGAGCGGAAGCGGGGCGGCGCGCGGGCCCCCAGGGCGCCTCGACGAGTGACGGGAGGGGGGGACGCGCGGCCCCCCAGGGCGCCGCGACGGGTGACGGGAGGGGCGACGCGCGGCCCCCCAGGGCGCCTCGACGAGTGACGGGAGGGGGGAACGCGCGGCCCCCCAGGGCGCCGCGACGGGCGACGGGAGGGGCGACGCGCGGCCCCCCAGGGCGCCGCGACGGGCGACGAGAGGGGGGGGGTCGACGCGCTAGAGCCCAGGGCGCCGCGACGGGCGACGGGCAGGGCGACGCGCGGCCCCCCTGGGCGTCGCGACGGGCGACGGGATGGCGGGGGGGGGGGGGCGCGCGCGGATCCCCCACGGCAGAAAACCGCCGCGCGCCTCGGGGCGCACGGCGGGCAGGGACCTGGGGAGGCCAGAGATAAGGAGACGGGAGTGCATGCTGCAGAGACGCGGTAGAGAGGGGTGACCGAGTCTGTGGTGCCAGACAAGAGTCTGGTGGGAGAGTACGCCACGAACACGACGCAACGAACTGACCAGACGCAGACACCTGACTCGACGCAGCCACCTGACCTGACGCAGCCACCTGTGCAGACGCTGTGGTCAGGGTGTACAGACTGGACCCAGGCTGCCGAGTGAACGTAGCAAGGTGACGGCCAGTCCGTGAGCACGTACAGATCGCCACACGCTGCCTCCAGGGGTAAAGGTATCAACCCAAACATCCTGAAGGACTGCGTTGCTCACCAAGCTCGTCGAGAACGAGGGGAGGTGGAGACCTAAAAGAGAGCCGGAGGGGACTGCCGGACACGGGAGGACAGTGGAGGCTCGTGCGACGACGGGGCCCCCAGACGGGCCAGCCAGTGAGACTGGGACATGTGCAGCAAGTGGTGTGACTGTGGTGCAATCACGAAAGAAGAAACTAGACGCGCCATAGTCAAGTGTGAAAGTGTGCAAGGCGTCAGCTGAGGCAGCAGACTCACTAGCACCTGTGGCAGCAGACGCACTAGCACCTAGAGCGGAAGTAGACTCACTAGCACCTAGAGCAGCAGCACCGACACTACTAGAGACGCATCGCTGAGAAAACCACTCCCGAGGCTGCTGCGGCGAGGGGTTCTCTGGCTGACTGTGCTGCCGCTGTTGTCGAGTACCTCCAGGAACATATCCTCCACCACCAGGATGGCCTCGCTGAATAACCCACTCACGAAGCTGCTGTGGCGAGAGAGTCTCCTGACGACGAGACTGCCGCTGCTGCTGTCCAGTATCGCCCACACGCATATAATCCCAAGCTCCAGGACCAGAGTGGCCTCGCTGAATAACCCACTCACGAAGTTGCTGCGGCAATAGAGTGTCCGGGTGAGGCAGTGGCTGCTGCTGTCCACCCCTAGACGCTGCTACGACCGTGATAGTGGCCATAACAGGCAGTGGCAGTCAGTAGCAGCGGCTCAGGTGGCAGCAGCAGTGCAGGTGGCAGCAGTAGCGTAGGCGGCAGCAGCAGCTTAGGTGGCAGCAGCAGCGCAGCAGCAGCAGCAACACAGTAGCGAGCTGCAGCTCACCGCAGGTCAGGGCTGCGCGCGGGCCTAAGGGCAGGGCGGCGCGTGGGCTGCAGAGCAGGGTGCGCGAGCCTAAGGGCAGGGCAGCGCAGCGCGCGGGGTGCAGGGCAGGGCGTCGCGCAGGCCTAAGGGCAGGGCAGCGCCGCTCGCGGGCTGCAGGGCAGGGCAGCGCGGCTCTAAGGGCAGGGTGGCGCACGGGCCTAAGGGCAGGGCGGCGCGCGGGCCTAAGGGCAGGGCGGCACGTGGGCTGCAGGGCAGGGCGCGCGGGCCTAAGGGCGGGGCGGCGTGCGGGCCTAAGGGCAGGGCAGCGCAGCGCACAGGCTGCAGGGCAGGGCAGCGCGCAGGCCTAAGGGCAGGGCGGGCTGCAGGGGCGAGCGCGGGCTGCAGGGGCGAGCGCGGGCTGCAGGGGCGAGCGCGGGCTGCAGGGGCGAGCGCGGCTGCATGGGCGAGCGCGGGCTGTAGGGGCGAGCACGGCTGCAGGGGCGAGCGCGGGCTGCAGGGGCTAGCGCAGGCTGCAGGGGCGAGTGCAGCTGCAGAGGCGAGCGCGGGCTGCAGAGGCGAGCGCGGCTGCAGGTGCGAGCTCGGCTGCAGGGGCGAGCGCGGGCTGCAGGGGCGAGCGCGGCTGCAGGGGCGAGCGCGGCTGCAGGGGCGAGCGCGGGCTGCAGAGGCGAGCGCCAGGAAGAAGACGGCGCGCGCCCGAGGCGCGCGAGAAGCAGAACAGCAGCGGAAGCAGTTAGGTGGTGGGCCCACCCACAGGATCGACCCAAGGGGGTCGACCTGCTCTGAAACCATGTCAGAAAGAACGAAACAGGAATGAAGAAAGGAAGGGGTTTCACTAGCAAGCAGTTGGATACATATAGCAAACCCTAATTGGGCTGTACTCACTATGGAGTACCCCACTGCAGGCTAGACAATTATAACATTCTGACATGCTCGTGTGCACGAAACGCCTGCGTCTGCAGGTCACGGCCTCCGTCATCACCCTGCCTCGCGTACCTCGTGTTCTCCTTCCCGTAGGCCATGCAGACGCTGCACTTCACATAGGGAAACCCCTCCTTGGTTTTCCCGAAGACAAGCCAAGAGAACTGTCCCGACCACCTCGTATCGTACATGATGCTGGCCTCCAGGTACATCTGCTCCCGCAGCTGCGCCTTGGTGAGGGCGGGCGAGCCGGTGTCCGCGCGGATCGGGAACACATCTTCCTCTGGCGGTGCGGCTTCAGCAGGTGGTGGATCAGCCGGAGTGTTCGAAGCAGAGAGACGGCGGCCTCCCATGAGCAGGGTATGCTGCGCCCACTTCCCTGAACGCGCTCTCTTCGGAGTGGAGGTAGCCGATGGAGGACCAACAGTCACCCGCACGGTGCTTGGTGTGGGACTTGGCGCGGCCGGTTGGGGATCGTAGCTACAAGAAGCAACAGCCGGGGGTAGAGTGAAGGCGGCCTCACGGGGAGACTCGTCAGGTGTAGGCGTATCTTTAACTGCAGAATCATCTACGGTAGACCTAGGTGGATCAGGTGTTACTGGAGCAGCGGAACCTCTAAGAAAATCAAGCCCCGAGCGACGGGCATCAGAACGGTTCTCTGGCAAAGTTGCCTCCGTGGCTTTCGGCGGTAACGGTGGCTCATCTGAGCCAGCCTGCGGCGCGTCTTCGTCAGCCTGCTGCTGGCCTTCCATGGCGGGGAGAAGCTAGTGATGGGGAGAGAGAGAAACGAAGAAAAGAATTGAACAATGTGAACATAACAGCAGCAAGAATCAGACCCTGGCTGTGGGAGAAGGGAAGCAAGAAATGGAGGGAGAAGGTGGGGTCAGCAAGAATCCACCGCGTCGCCACGAAATTGGTGGTGCCTTGGTCGAAACATCGAGCCGTCATTGTATTCGGCCTTTCATGCAGGCCGAATACATTGAACGACTGCATCAATGCCAGCGACGACTGCCACTATGTGTCTCCCGCCAATGAGGGACACGTATTGTGCTGTGCGCGGTGCGCGTGGCAGTAAATATGATGCCTTTTGTTGCGCTGTCGAATTTGACAGCTGTGTTGTACATCGATGCTGTACAAATCACACTTGTGTTCTCTGTCTGTATTATGTCACTTGTGCGCGTGAAACGAATCAACCACATGGTTTACCCACATGGGGGGGTATCGGGACGAAACCTCTACGAAGCTTCGTCCCGATGACATCGCTTTCAGGGTCCACAGGTCGCGTACTCTGTATTGACAGGGTCCAGGAAAACACTACACTGAGAGTGTACAGAGAATATCAGGGTCCGCTAAACCAATACTCTGAATGGATCAGGGAAAAAAATGTGAAAAACCTGATTTCACAGGGACCATCAGGTGAGAAGGCTGAAATCACCCTGAAATCAGGGTAATTACCCTGATAAAATCAGCCCTGCTGACCACGCTGCTGCAGCTCTCGAGCAAGAAAGTAGCGAAGAGCAATGTGCTTCGTTTTGTGCTCCAGTCTCTGCTCGTGACACAAGGCACGCATGGCCTTGT